TTCTTCTCTCTCTCTCTCTCTCTCTCTCTCTCTCCCTCCCTCGCCCTCTGTCTTTTCCCTTTCTTTTCTTTTCCCTTCCTTCGTCCCTCCCCCCCATCCATCCTTTTCTCCTCCGCACCATTAATCCCTCCTATCCTATTCCCAACGAAACGAGAAGGGGTATCCATTGTCGCCAACCCTCTACCCTCTTTTCACCAGAGTTCTTCCAGCGAAATATATCAGGAGGAGGGTGCTTGCCGGGTGCCGACAAGGACACATTACAACCATTCAGTTAATTGGTCCATTGCTCGCTGCTACGTACTAATTGCTCCGCTCATTCATTCCGATCTCCCCTCACTCATCGCCTCCCCTCTTCTCATTGTCCCTTCCCGGCCTGCACGACCACCCCCAATTCCTGATCCCTTTTTAAGATATTACCAAGCTCAAACACGCAAGACAACAAGGTCATTCGATGTATGCACCTCCGTCCGATGATGATCGACCTAGTGGTCGCCATCACTCGTTGAAAGGTGTCAGTAGAGGTAGATCGGGGACAGACGCTAGCAAAAAGGGAGAAAAGGGATCCGCCCTCCGGCGGAAGTCATCTGCTGCAAGTACCCGGAGACCGGTACTGGGGCGAAAGAAGAGCCCTCCATCGTGGGGTATTAAGAAGGACCTCAGCTTGGTTGATCGCATTGCGGCATTTTTTGTTGAGAATCAAATAAGTATGACAACTTCCGTGAAACGCATATATCCCCCTCCTTCTTATTGATGCCCCGGGCCATTGCGGCCGAGAGTCGAGAAGGGAAGAGGGAGAATGGTTCCTTTCAAGCTTGTGATGCAGAGTACTGATAGAACTGGCTACTGTAGGGTTTTCCGCAACTATCCTGGCCGCGATGCATGGTTGTCATTATCTCTCCCCACAGCTTCGGCCCACAACCCGGAAGCTGTTAGAAGTCTGCTACTACAACCCCGCCACAGGGAACTATGGAAAGGGCCCGGATGACGTATACCTGGTGTTTTATTGGATAGTGATGTTTACTTTTTTGCGTGCAACCGCCGTAGATTATATCTTCATGCCGTTTGCAAGATGCGGCGGGATATCAGCCAAAAAAGATCTTGTCAGATTTGCGGAGCAAGCCTGGCTTCTTGTCTATTACTCCGTCTTCTGGACACTAGGAATGGTATGTTCTCCTGATGACTTCAACATTAGAAGACTTGTTAGCCGGGGAATCACACTCGTTCATCCTGCTAATGTTGAGTAATCCTGCGTAGTACTTAATGTACAATAGTCCCTATTGGATGGACCTTGCTCAGATGTGGGTTGATTGGCCTGTGCGCGAGCTTGGTGGTACCTTCAAATGGTATTACTTGGTTCAGTATGCATTCTGGTTGCAGCAAATTTTCGTCCTAAATATTGAGGAGCGGAGAAAGGACTACCATCAGATGTTTGCCCATCATATCGTGACTTGCATGCTGATATTTGCGAGTTACACATACCACATGACAAGAGTTGGCAACGTCATCCTTTGTGTTATGGACGTAGTTGATATTCTGCTTCCGGTGAGTTCACTCCCTTACAGCTTCTACATCTTGGCTAAACCTTTGTGTACAGCTGGCCAAGATGCTCAAGTACCTGGGTTACAATGCCATTTGTGATTGTGCCTTTGGGGTTTTTCTCATCACTTGGTTTGTCGGCAGACATGTCTGCTATATGCGCATTGTCCACTCCTCGTGGGTAGACGCACTCACCCATATCCGTGAAGGATGGTATGCCCCCAATGCGACAGAGCCAATTCTATACTCGGAGAAGCCACGCCCGAGCACAAGCTTTCTGTTAGGCCAATTTCTGAAACCTATGGGAACTGTTGTTTTTACGAAGGAGATTCTTGGAACATTCGTTATTCTTCTACTTGCGCTGCAAGTACTCACGCTCATGTGGTTCTATATGATTCTACGTGTAGCTTGGAAGGTTATTAAGGGAGGAGGGGCAGACGATACCAGGAGTGATGATGAGGACGATGATGAAGAGGAGGAGGAAGAGGATATTGAATTTGAAGGTTCAAACCCGAAGGCTGTGGAAACTGTTCAGATGAACGGCACATCTATGTCGACAGCCTCCTTTCCATCTGTTATCATGAATGGGGGTTCTCACCGGCATCTTTCTTCGCAGCCGTTGGGTGGCGGATAAAATCGATAGGGAATCCAAGCAAAAAGGATGGGAGTTTAGTCAAATTATTTGCTTTCTTGTTTGTTTGTTTTTGTTTTTTTCCTTCCTTCCTCTTCTTATTGTCTTTAGGGATTGTCTTTGCTTTGCGGTTTTGGAATGCGGATGTAAAAGTGCGAGCGAGTTTGGGGAGTGAACGAGTTTAATTTTAACCAACTGTTATTTTTGTATTCGTATTGGAGGGCGGGCTTTCTCTTTCTCTTTCTTTTTTTCCCCGGTATTCTTCACCTTTCATCTTAGGGCCGCATCGTCGCTTCTTTCGCCGCCGGCTAGTTATAGTGCTTTACTCCTTTCCAAAGCTTTGTTTAATACCTCTACCCTGCGTTTGTGCCCCTTCCTCCAACTCCATCAATCGGGGGGGGGGGTGGGGCTTACGTGCACTCCCTCAATTCCACTTACTGGCACTTGTTTGCTTTCATGTTTATTGCTTTTTTTTTTTTTCCTACACTTGTCCGTCCAACTACAAAAAAAGTTTTCACCTTAACTAAACGGGATTTTTTTCATGGGAATAAATGTCTTTTCCGCTTTTGTTTCTTTTGCATACCATTTCGTTGCCTATCTTTTTCAAACCGAAAAATATATCCCATTAATCCTCCATTACTCTTGGTTAGATTTTCTCCTTCTCATGCACCTGCTTTCTTCCCTCCTTTGCATCAATGCCTATTGCTTTCGTCCTTTTGCTTTTCTGGTGGGCCTTCTCTTTGTTATTTTTTTCTTTTTCTTGTTCGCTTTTGAGTTGTCAATACTCTTGTCCTACCTACCTACGGTAGCATAACTGGCTTGGCATATAGTACCGTAGCCCATATAGACAGTACTATTCAATTTACAGATGATAAAGCCCTCTCTGTCCACCCTCCCAGACTTGCCTGTGATATTGTAAATGAAGATGAATTAATTCATCCAAACCAAGCCCGCATTTATACACTTGTGGTACCATATGTTAATTACCACTGACTAGCTAAACCAAACAAGAAAAGTGGAACAGGAAGAACACGAAAGCTGAGATATCGGACTAGTTCAAATCATAACCCGACACCGGCTAGTCCAACCCAGCTTGAGTTTTGCATCAACAAGTTGGCGCAAACACGGTTGCTCCTACTCGTTCATTTCAACTCGCAAAGGAAGAGAAGTACTTTGTTGATCATGTTGAAGAGTGGCCATTAGAATTTTTTGTTTGTTTGCCCGAAGGGAATGGGTATAGTAAAGTAAGAAGGCAACGGATGTACAGGTTGGAGATTGAAGATTGGGTTTTGTAGGTATGATGGAAGATGAGAAAGAAAAAGAAAAAGAAAAAGAAAAAAAGTATGATAAAAGAGAACAAGAAAAAATATTGACGCCCAAGCTCCGTTTGCAGTATTCATTTGGATATCCCTATGCCCACCACTCCATCTCGGGTTTCGAGTCCTTTTCCTCCTTCGACCAGTGCATCCATCCATCAATTCCTCCCCCTGTCACCAACCAACGAATCAACTGCACGTTGGAATGTCTGATGTGCGAATCATCACTATTCCGCTTCATGTTTGCTTATTTGTTCGCTCGCAGACCAGACTCCTGCCATGGTCCATCCACCCATCCATCCCAAAGTAAGTTGTCCAGATACTCTTGAATAGACGGGCCATGATAGCAATTGGTTGTATTACGAGCCCGGTACCGCAGGCCCCGGCATGACTTCGTGCGAGCACAGTACGACATAGTGGGAAAACGGTCGGATATGCCGCCGGGTAAGTGTATCAGACTAAAAAAAAAGCCACAAAGTCCACCCCATCACATCCGTCGTTTTGCTGATCGATTGGAGGAGGTCCGACTGACTGAGAGGAAATCGGCAGCAAACAAAAGAGCAAAGGCCGGTAGGTAGGTAGGTAGGTAGGGTAGGGGGGGGGGGGGAGTTGGGGAAAGAAAAACCTCCCGGGCCCAAGAAATCCTGGATATTAAATCTTGCGCAGAAGACAGAAAGCAGAAGAAAATTCAGAGAGAAAAGAAAAGAAAAGAAAAGGAGATGCTGTCGTTAAAAGGTGAAGGACTTTGTACTTTTAAAGGAAAAAAAAAAAGATTGCCTTCTGAAGTCGATAAAATGCTGATCCCCCTTTTCCCTCCATTGTTCCATCCATCCTTTTCTTGCCTTTCCATTCAAAACCCTTCCTCCCTTCCAGAGTTCGAGACAGAAATTCTGCATTCCCATTGTACGCACACGCACATACCCCCACCGTACCTTGCCAGCGCCGGAAAGCAAAACAATTAGGAAAAAATGAAAAGAAAAAACGTGACAGGTAAAATGTGACAAAAAAAAGTAAAACAAGACACCGTTCCTTTCATCTTTCCATTTTACAATAGAATCAAGTAATTTGATGGTGCAATACCCGTTTCTCCATTCTGTTTCCTTGCCTGCCACCATCGCCCTGAAACATCGGACACCTCCAAAATCTCATGCTTTGCAAACGATATCTCGTTCGCATCCTCTGGATTCGCGTCGTAAGAGTAGATAGCTTTTGCTCTGTATGGATACTCTGTGGGTGCCGAAACTTCCGAATCTGGTGGTCCGCCCTGGCTTTGCGGTTGAGGTGTAGCGGATGGTCCGGGTGCCAGAGTTGAGACCGAAGGAGATGCGTACCTGTTTGCTGACTGTCTGTAATCAGGACCAGCTTGTCCAGGCACTGGAGAGCTGGTTTCGAATCCGTTGAGTTGTGCACTAGTATACATCTGAGGAGCATGGTGACTGCTGGTGCTAGTGTGGGGTCTGTCCCCTCCGTGGTAGGCGGGCGATAGGGGGCGTGTGCTCTGCGAACGCTTCTGATCTTTGTGAAGAGCAAACGAGTCTACATAAGCATGAGATAAGGCGTCGGGAGTTGAACCGAAATAGAATATCCAGATAATCTGCAGTCCAAAGTAAGCATCAGGTACGAGAAGCACAACCAGATATACTAACCTGAACAATGGACAAAATAATATGCCCAGCGCCTGCCGCCTGCATGGTACCTCTATCTATGTAAACAAGAGTGTTCGCGGCCGAACATGTAAAAACCATACCGGCCGAAAGATAGCCCACAAGCTAAACCACCGAGCCAAAAATCAGCAAAGATCTACCGTAGCTTTGAACCGAATAGCCTTACCGCAAGCTGATACTTGTGAACGGAGTCCATTAATATAACGACTGTAACACCCACTATGCAGAAAAATACGTATACAATAGACCACCAGGCAAATTTGGGAAAACTGACAACCCCTTTGTCGGCATCAGCAATCGCTTGAGATACAAATCCCACTAGCCATCCTATCTAGAAGAAAGTTAGCCACCATCACCCCGAAAAGCAATAAAACATAGGTTCCCATTTTTCCCCCTTTCCCTGAATAGTGGATTCCGGGCCCACAATCATCGTCGGAAGGAGCGACAAAGACGACCAGGGCAAGGAATGGTGAGGCTTACTATAGCTATCGAGATGGTGGACAGAGCGAATGGATCACCGATAATGTTTCCGAAATCGAGTCTGGATGAGGAAGTGCCATAGGGCCTGCCCCGCGACATTGATGGATCCTGCCCTTGCATTTTTCCTACGGATGGCGAATGAAGGGAAGCGTAGGATTGCATGAAAATCCCACAAAGGAGAAAAGGAAAGGGGAGCGAGGGAGTCGGCGAGCCGGAGACGAGAGATAAAAAAGAAGGCGGAAGAGAAAAGAAAAAGTGAGGGAAGGAGGGAAGCGTGGCCTAAAACGACGGAAGGAGAATTGGAACAGACAGGGTAGATCGTGCTTGTTGGAGATGGGGCTTTGGGGTGTCGAATGGTGCTAAAATGACGATGGGGTGTGGGTGGGTGTGGATAGAGAGGGTGTGCACAGTGCGCGGTATGTATTCAATAAAGGGCGGAACGCAGGTGCGGCAGGGGCTAGTTTCACGACGAGAAGCGATTCACGCTCCTACGATCAGGGTAAGTGACCTCCGTCTCCTCCAACCCGACACTTCTCCCAGGTCGAGGTGTTGATTTACTCGAGTACTGAAGCTTTCCGCTCAGGGTCGAGGGGTGGGGGGAAGAAGTGTGGTTAATTTTTCTTGGACGAGAGCGCGTGTGCTCTACCAAGTACTGAGAACTGCGCAGACGGAGCGAGTGAAAGGAGGTCTTGGAGAGAGAGGGCAGAGAGGAGGGGGGGGGGGGGGTGCGTGTGCAAAAGTGTGAGTGAGCGAATGGGGACGGGTTGATCAAAGGTGGAATGAAGAGCTTGCAGGCAATTCCTGTGGACAAATTACTGGTCGACAAAGGGAGAAAGTGGAAAAGACCGATGATGTGCCTTTCCTACTGTTGTACGCCGCAATGCAGTACTCGAGTACAGTACCGTAGGGACCGGTATTGTGATTCGTGGATTCTTTTCTTCCCTGCAAACTTATTAGCCTGGCAGGTTGGAGATGAGGCGATGGATGACAGAACGTGCACCGCAGCACAGCACTGTAACTTGTATGTCCTGTGCCCGTGCAGATTTTTTTCAAAAGAGCGAGGGGCGGAGCTGGTGGATTACCGTTAACCTTCTTCCCTGCACCTAAGAAATCTTATTTGCTTCTTATTGTTAATCAATGGCAACTATTATAGCTATTGCTGAGAAGGATGATGGTGGTGCTGGTAGATGAATTGCTATCGCAGTCTATCTCCCAGCCAACAAAGGGGTAGACTAGCACTTGATCTTGTGGCAACACCTTCCCCGGTCTCAGTGGGATAGGGTACTGTAGATAGAAGAGAGCGCTGGAATCGAGACGAAAGGAAAAGAAAAGAATGAAAGAAAAGGAAAAAATTATATGAAGAATTCTGTGGTCAGATTTCCAAAGAGTGATGGATGAAAAAAAAAGAAAGAAATGGAAAAAAGAAGAAGAGAGAAATGGAGAAAGAGAGTACCAGTACGGTACAGTACTCGCGAAAGGGTAAAAATCTATCGACGAGAAAATAAATACCGCCGGCAGTGACAACAATAGTAATAATAGAATGAGCGAATCACAAGGACGAGGATTCCGGAGAAGAGAAATGAGCCTGCTCTCGCGCGCCCGGACCGGCCGTTCCAGAACTGACGCTTCACTAATTCCAGCTCCCAATTCCCAATAAAAGTGGACCAGGCAGTGCTGGCTACCGTAGAAGGGGTACTTTGTCCCGGAATCCTAAGGCTCGAAAGCTTCAGTTGTCTTGCTCCAGCCTATTGGTCTACGCACCCTCCAGACTGCGCCCTTTCCCTTGTTTATATAAAAAAGAAAAGCTCCCGAGTGTAAGGGCTGAGGAGAATACCGGTAAATGGGGAAGAGTAGTGGTGTAAAACTTAAAAAGTGCCGATATAATGGTGGGAAAGGGAAAAAAGCGAGCGCTCGCTAATCTCTCGATTGTGATAATTCGGTGAAACGTGTAGGAAACGAAGGGGAAAGGGAAAGGGAAAGAAGCTTTGCTGCGGGTAAGAATCGATTTCCCCGGACTTTGCGAAGACTTCTCACCCTCCGACGAGAAGGTGACCGTCTTTATGGTGCCCGTCGATAATACAATACAAGTTCAGTATGATACCGGTGCCGTGCAACCAACCACGACAGCGGCAACAAAGGAAAAGCGGTTACTCTTCCCTCTTTATATTCGGAGGAAGAAGGGAGAAAGGAAAACATGTCCCTGCCGGCGTCAAAGGCCACAAATATCCGAGCACGTACTGACAACTCAACCTAAAGGGCGAGCAAAAAAAAGATCATTCTACGCGACGGGCCAAACTTTTCCAGGCCAAGAGTGGTTACCATGTTCCTCCCTTGTCCAATGGATTTGCCCTCAGTTGTTCCGTTGATGGCTATTACCCGCCGCAAGGGATGTGGCCGCTAAATATAGTATGAGTACGGTACTCGAGCACTATGCTGCACATGTCTTGGATGAAGAGAGCATCAAACACCATGCAACCTACCGGTACTCCAGTACCGTGGTGAGTCGATCAGAGCGAGCTGTTACATCTTTCCTGTATGATCCAATAACCTCTCATCCGAGAGCCCCTACCAGCTCTGGATCAATCAATATATAGGCAGGCTACTGTACCGTATGAGTTTATGTGGAAAGCATCCCCCCCCACTTACTCCTTCTTCCTCCTCCCTCCTTTCTGAAACGTTACCGATAATAATGCTAGAAATGCTAGACGCATGCTAGACGCTGACGCTCCGCCCTGTCTTCGCTACACTTACAACCTTACCGCAGATCACCCAACCGTATCATGTGTCCAGTATCCGGATCCCTTCCGTTTGTCCTACAAGAAGAGATCCTTCTGCACCTTACGTCCCTACGAGTACTCGAACACTGTGCCTGTGCCTGCCCATGTTGATTTCGAGGAACAGGCCCTGTCTGCACACCTGAAACCAAGGAGACCCAGTAACAGACACAAAAAGGATCTTATATGCAACCCAAGACAGAGTATGGTATTGGAAATAATTACAAGAAGCGTATACTGAATTCCAAACCAAGAATGCGTGACATTATTTGTCACGAGCGGGAAGGAAAGTCTCGGAACCTGTCACACCCAAAGGAATATATCCGGTTCTGACAACACCGTGGAACGCCTAGAGAAAATCAAAAAAAGAAAGAAAGGGGGGTAAGATCAGTAGCCATAGTGCTTTATAAACAGCTGCCTTTTCTCGCAAACCCCAATAACTAAAAGAAGGAAGTAATGAATGAAAGCTGGATGGTAAAGTGCCACTGGTTCTCCGTGGTGGGGGTGTGGCCGGTCGATCAATGTGCAACGACGTAGAAAGTGTTGAGTGTCAAGCAAGTGATCATGACAACGAATCCATATACGACGAGCCCTAGAGCTCCCCTTCTGAGCAACCTGCTTCTCCAGGTGTCCGCTCTACGATCACCTTCCTCTGCATCGCTGTCTTCGTCTTCTTTCAAGAGACGATGGTTATCTGATTCTGGATCCGATATTTTCCAGTAAAAAAGACCCGGGAGAATACTAAGCGAGCTGTCAGATGATTCCAATCATTCCCGGCTAGTCAGGGCGGGAGGCATACAAACTGATGCTTGTTGAGCCAGTGCTTCCAACATAAGCCAGCACCCTCTCCAAACTACTGACAGCCATGGCCACAAGGTATGTCCCAACGATAATTGCCGTCGTGATTGAAGCAAATCTCCAGTCACTCATCTCATAGACCCTGCCGGGGGATGAGGGTCTGGGACCAACCCTCCTTCGAAAGGGCTTCCATTTGAGTACATTGTCAATACTGGCCCTGCAGGGGTGTGCTTGCAAAGGGTAACTGAACATGACAAGTATGACGATTGCTGCGCGGCCTATCGTAGAGGTCCAGGATGGGGGGTACATGGCGATGATATTTCCACCGATATTGTCACCATATGATAGGTAGCCTGTGACAGCAACAAGGACATAAATTGAACTTGCAGATCCAATGGACCCTGATATGACACTAAGCGTCGATCTATGGTATGCATCCTTGATTTCGTTCAATATCGAGAACATCTAAGCCTTTCTGTTCAGTTGCGTCGTATTCTCAAACGGAAGGTCCCACGAGGACATGGAAGACTTTACGTTCTGGTGACAGGTATAGGCAAAAACTATGACGGGAAAGCTACTAAGTGCTTCTATAGGCCCGGCCCAAGTTATCAAGCGAACACCGCCCCTACCACCCAAGGTGTCGCCCCTCAAAAAGTGGGCGAGCACAATGATGATAAGGTATCCGATAGAAACCAGTGCAACAAACGAAGTGTACTTCAAAGAGTCCAGTCGCCTTAGAAAAGAGAGTGGGATAATCACAAGCCTAGGGGCGAGTCAGTTAATTGCAATAACTTACCGAGGCTGTGTCTGTGAGGGGGCTTGCATGTAACCGGTTATCCAGAAATGTCTATCTACGAGACAGTCAACGTTGCCAGCATTCTGACTAAAGCCCAGGACGACCTGCGGCATAAGGTCACCAATGATAATAAGGTAAGAAATCGCCACACCTATGTAGCGTCGGTGAGCAGGTAGGTTAGCGTGGCGAAAATTCTCCCTTGGGAAGCAAACCGGGTTTCTACCGACCGAAACACTTAATGGCAATAGCCAAATCGAACACAACAGCCGCGTTGGGAAATGTCAGCTGGCTCAAAGTGAAAAAGCTGGCCGCCCCTCTGTCGATATACTTGGCGCATCGAGTTTGAAGGTAGAGACCAAAGCCAGACATGAAACCGGAAAAAAGAATAACAAAGATACCCAGGGTTATTCCGAACTGTGACATTGCGTGGGGCATTGCCAACACACCGGCGCCGACAACTGCTCTAGAGTAAGCCATAACCGGGAAAATGAGGACAATCAATACTAACTAGTATTCAAGAGATTGACAACGCTACTACCCCATGATGCTTCACCGGCCGGATGAGCTATCTTGCCTTGACGTCGACGTCTATAATCCCGAGAACAAAGTCAGCGGCTGCGGGGGGACCTGTGGGATAACAAAGCCGATGCGCACCGTCTTCCTTCAGGAGAGCTAGTCCCCTCATCCCTATCCTCCTGGGTTATAGATTCGTAGTTGGCAGATGACATATCGGCGATATTCCCCCTTATCCTAGGAGGGGTGCCGGTAGGTGAGGGTCGTAAAAAAGATACTTAGACGCCAGCTTGAGGTTAGGGGTTGCGAGTGTTTGGTCTGTGTGGAGCAAGTAGCAGTATAATACCAAAGGTTGAGGGAAATCGAATGGCGAGCCAGAGCCCTTGCGACTTAAGAGACTGAAGAGACTGACGTTGTGTAGCAGTTAAGGAGAGAGATTGCGTGGCGCCGAGATTGGCTGAGGTGACCTTCGCGGGCAAAGAGGACGGGATGTGTGTATTTTTGAGAATAGGCGTCGCCGGACAGGAAGGTTGACTTTCCGGAAAAAAAAAATCTCGGACACGGATGTGGCTGATTTCCCTCATTGGATCTCAGCGGATGTGGTTCGGCCACAAGATCTGAAAAAGTAAAGGCTTGGCAAGAACGCTGCAACCCCAAGGATAAGGTGCAGACTCGGGGAGAAAATGTTCGAAATCCCACGAATCGCAGGGGTAAACTTGTCAAGCCCACCGATTGCCATACGGTAGCTCATCACGACCACCTCTCCCATACCGGTAGACGAATATGGCAACAGAAACCGTGGAAATAAATAAGGAAAAGAGCTAAGGAGACAAATTAAGAACCTCCCTCAGCCTTATTTATTTCCCATATCTTTAACCCTCCTACAGGTACTGAGGTATCAGATGCTGCTGATGCTGGAGGTCGAAATATTGCCGAAGCAGTAACTCGCCGGGTGGGTGTTGCGTGTCCCGGGCTGAAAGTTAGGATGCCGCTCTGGACATACCGTATCATATTAACTCGACAAACTGAGTAGCGCCTTGGCAGAACTTGATCGCACGAGATGGGAGGATTTGGAGAAGATCGGAGGTTAACAGGGGTCTGAGGCGTCCTAACAGCAGTTAAAGCCACCCTCCCAATCCTTTTTAGTTCAATACTAGGCTTCCTAGGGAGATTCTGTTTCAAAACTAAGATCAGAACCCTGCACCGTTACTAAGTACCGTACTCATCTATCGAGTTAATCCGGTACGATACCAACAGAAGGCGCAGTTTTTTTTTTTCGATAGCATGACAAATGTGGTACAAGGGCAGATCATGAATTCATGGTACTTGTAGAGAGCAGGGATCAGAGGTTAGAGAGCAGTGGTACAGCGCTTGCAGAGGTATACCATAATTTTGTCCAAATCAGAGTTCTTAAATCCAAGATATTACATGAGAAAATTCACAAAAATCAAAACTTTTCATAGAACCACTGAAAATAGTAAGGACACCCATTTCTATATCAAAATATCTACTTAATTCCCAATCTCTCAAAAGTAGTATGCAGTTGAACTTTGAAATTCTACCAAGACATAGTTTTCCCACCAAGAACAGTGGTCTTGGCACAATTTGAGGAAAATTTCATTGCTACCTCTCCTCAGAGAATTTATATCATTTGAGGTTCTGATAGAAGTAAAGTAGCTTACATCTTTTCTAAACATCCTATGAAGTTATCCTATTTTTAATTGTAATTTTGGTGCTGAAATAAGTATGTGAAATACCGTAGGCCATTTCTAGTGTGGAATCACTTGAGTGTACTCAAACACATACTTTTTCAACTGTTCCAAGATTGCCTTCACAACAGAGAATGAACACCCCTGCTCTGTACTGTACCATGAATTCATGGGGTACCCTTGTACATAAGTTACTAGCGCGATACCGGTATTTTAATAAAGAGCGCGATGGTACAAGTGCCATGGATAATGTTTTCGCACAGTTAATTTAGGTTAACCCGCAAAATAATCCCTGTCCTGCACTGTACTCGGGGGGTGGGGTTAGTCGGGCGACACCCATATAAATTTATGGTAACTAAATTAGGGTTCTACAGCAAAGAAACGTGTTTTGGACGGATTTTTTGTTAGGGAGAAAAAAGTCTGGCGACACCCAGAATAGGCAATAATCTCAGACATTTTGTGGCATGTCGCCGCACTTACCCCTGTACCCGAGTACACGTACGAAAACATCTCCCCTGGCACTTGTACCGTACTCGTACTGTACAAACTAAAAATCATAGCTCGCTTACGGTAGTTTTTTTCCTCTTTTTTTTCCCAATCTACCTTATGTAATATTGTGACTTTGATTTCATTTCGGTTTTTAAAATTCATAAAGGCATGCATGGGAGGGTTAAATAAATACTCGTAAAGTCCCGGCGGTGGGAGAGAGGTCGCAATCTGTTATCTACACCTGGCGGTATTATGCTATGGTACGGCAGGTGACAAGTTTATCCTACAATCGACAGCATTGCAGAGGCTTCCTCCCTCTCTCCCTCTCTCTCTCTCTTTCTCTCTCTCTCTCTCCGGGAACTCCTCTTTCTTTCCCGGGAAAACCGATCTCGCTTTGTCTAGCTGGTAAGGGTCAGATAAAACATGTAAATAACATTATGACAAAGCAAACATCTTCTTTCCATCGTATCATATCAAACTAGGCTCTATGTTGTTTTCTGGACCTAAGGGTGCGGGGTGGAACGCACCGATTTCGGTGTTAAACATGGAACAGCACTCGAGCCCAGCTGCCCAGGCTGGCCGTCCCCCCGGAAGACTCGCGCTGCCGGTACCCTAGCCCCACGTCAGCGTTGAGCCTCCCACTGTGCTTGAGTGCAGAATCATAATATCATATAATAAACTGCCCCGCCGTTTCTCCCAGCCATCTAAATCTGCTCAACCTGCTCAGTTGTCAAGTCTCTTGGCACAACATGGTCTACGCAACCCTCAATCTCCCCAAATTCAGTCTTAATCTACATTCCCACCGGGCACAGCTGGCCTGCACTGCCCTGATTTCCGGCGCGGTTGTAGCTTCCACGATTTTTGCTTTCCAAAAAGTCAAGCAGATCTCGAGATTAAAGAGCCTTAAAGACTCCATTCCTCCTCCATCAGAGGCGAATGTTGTATGTGTACCCATTCAGTCACCAAGTGGTGCATTATTGTCCGCGAAGCGAGCCGTTCCTAACATTGTCCCCGAAAAAGCTCACAGATTTCGGTGCAGCGGCCGCACGGTCCAGGCTTCAAGATGAATCCGATGCGGTTCTGGTTGCGAATGTTCAACGAGGAGATTGGGACGAAGGTATGCCGCTTATATATACCCTACTCTCGGCTTCTGATCATACCAACCCCTTCCCCCCTTTTAGATATCATCCTCGAGCAATTGGCCCGCAACAGAGTGTTCCTTGGCGAAGAGGGCCTCAAGAATGTTCGCAACTCCTTTGTGATAATAGTCGGATGCGGCGGGGTTGGATCGTGGGTTGCGACAATGCTCCTTCGCTCAGGAGTGGGCAATATTCGATTGGTTGACTTCGACCAAGTTACCCTATCATCCCTGAACCGACATGCGGTAGCCACTCTTGCCGACGTAGGAACACCAAAGGTCCAAGCTTTGAGGAAACGATTGGAGCAGGTGGCCCCTTGGGTGGAGATTGATGCACGAAACGAGTTATGGGATATGGAGGGCGGAGCTGCTCTGTTGGCGGGAGAGCCAACATTTGTTGTGGATGCGATTGACAATATGCAGACGAAGGTTGATCTTCTATTCTACTGCAAAACTCATAACATTCCAATAATCTCCAGTATGGGTGCTGGGTGCAAGAGTGACCCCACAAGGGTATGTGACCTCAATCCCTTAATACGTGCTCTTGTCTTTGCCCATCACTCACACGCTGGCCTTAGGTTTGCATTGGTGACATCTCGGAATCAACCGAAGACCCACTATCCCGAAGCACTCGCCGGCGTCTCCGACAAAAAGGTGTCTCCGCTGGAATCCCAGTAGTATACTCTACAGAGAAACCAGGTCCGGGGAAAGCCTCTCTACTACCGCTATCAGAGGGTGAATTCGAAAAAGGAAAGGTTGACGAGTTAGGCGTGCTTCCAGACTTCCGGGTCAGAATTCTCCCGGTGTTGGGCACAATGCCGTCGATATTTGGTCTCTGCGTTGCGAACTACGTTTTGACCACCATTGCGGGATATCCGACAGAGCATTCCAAGGGAAAGGATAGGTCAAAGCTATATGAAGATATGATTGCTAAATTAGCTGGTCAGGAAAGCCGGTTGAGAGGAAATGCTCCTGGAATTAGAATCCCGCTGAATGAGAGTGACGCTGGATACATTGCAGATGAGGTATTCAAAGGAAAGAGCGTTGTGTCTGGATTCTTCACGAGGCTAGTCCTTACACGCTGGGATCCATTGCCTCCGAGGGACGAAGGCTTCTGGGGAGAAAATGACCACACAATAACCACCAACGATGTGGTACTGATGACGAAGGACGAAGCCAAGAAGCATGAAAAGGAGGTTCTGAAAGCAGGCAGGTCACCGGAGGACGTTTGGGGCCCTGATGTGGTTGGGGCGGTCGAGGTAAGGAGGAAGGAGGAAGATTTTTACTCAAAATTTAGATAAATTTCACTTTCTAGTCTAGTGTGAAAAAACAAATGTTACCACTCGCCTATTCGAATAAAATTCACGGCCCTGCGGCAGTACAGTATAACGGGTTCAGGAGAGGCAATACCAGTGTCAATAGCGGAATTTACGGCATTCCAAATACGGTACGAGCATGCCAGAAAACCGCTAGCACTTTCATCCCCACAAATCTCACACAACCTACTGTACTCGAGTACTTGTACCGCACTTGCCGGTGCCTCCTCCACACGGGCCCTAGGCCCTTACGGAGCGGAAGAAAGGAGAAAACCCGGGGTACCAACACACCATAGACACATGATATGAATATGATACCGGTATCATTAGTATCTATAGTACTCGAGACCCCTGAAAACCGCCAGTACAAAATGCCCGGAAAGACAGCGCTAAAATGCACTATGAGACATGCACTATGAGACAATGCTAAAATGCCCGGAAAGACAGCACTAAGCTAGGGTGGGTTGAAGGACATAAAGGACACCGGGGGGAAGAAAATAAAATGAGAGCGGAAAAAAAACGGAAAGGGTAAGGGGTTAGTGGTTAGCTTTGATGCTGGAAATAGAAAATGTGATATGTGAGGGGAGAATTAAGTTACCCTACCTTAACAAAATATGAAAAGGTTACCCTGCCTGAGCCCTAGGCAGTTACCCTACCTGAGCTCAGATAATTATCCTACAGGTGCTACAAGTAGTTACCCTACTTAAAGATAAGAAAGTTATCCTACCTGAATACTATAAAGTTATTACTACTCAGAGGCCACATAGTTACCCTACCTCAGTATAAGAAGTTACCCTACTTGAGCTCTAAGTAGTTACTGTACTAGAGCTACAAGTAGTTACTTTACTTAAATACAAGAAAGTTACTCTATGTAAAACTATGTATAGTTGATATACCAGTATAGCATATGGTTACTATACAATGATCTCAGAGGTTACCCTCCTCGAGGTTCAGGTATCATAGTTACTCTACCTTAATCGTAGAGGTTACTCTACCCGAGATTCTGGTAGTTACCCTATCTAAGCTACAAGTAGTTATGCTACCAAAGTATGAGAGAGTTAGGGGCTGTTTGGCGTTACCGTTTTGTGTGGTTACCAACCATGGTTTGGCCTCAAAACCTGCTTATATAATCCATTTTAAGGGTCATAATTGGTCAGTTTTTATGCTTTATGGTTAAATCATGGTTGGTAACCACACAAAACTGTAATGCCAAACAGCTCCTTACTCTCCCTAAGCTATCAGTAGTTACTCTACTAAAGTACAAGAAAGTTATCCTACCTGTAGAGTAAACTCTCAGATTTATGGTATTGAATGTGAGTAGCAAATTCTAGCTCTAGAACATCAGATGAATCCAACAACAGGACATATTAGTTCAAAGCATATTTCTCTTGCAATATGGCATGTATACTATTGTTTTAAGCAAAGGAAAATCAAGTCACTTCTTTACTATAGTAACTGATTGTTTCAGGAGTACTTGGTTGATGCTGCAGCTTTTAATAAGTAAAATTCTCTTCACTAGATTAGAGAAAACCAGTCTAAGTTGAGAGCTCAAAGTCTGTCATGACTTCAGGGAAAGGCTGGAAACAACTGATAGAGATGTTGGAGTTAGACTGGAGACAGTTGGTAACCATCTTCTTTCTTCATCTATTTTAGGATCACTGCATCAAATAAGTAAGAATTATTATAACTTAATGGCAATTATCTGATATTATAAGAAGGGAGATCTTTTTATAACTATGACCTGTAATCCTAATTGGAACAAGATTCAGGATAATTTAAAACCAAGACAATCAGCATCAGATGGACTTGATTTAGTTGTTCATATTATTAATCTTAAATTTAAAGTACTAATAAGTAATATTAGAAAGAAGAAGATATTTGGATCTGTATTGGCTTTTATATGGACAATTGAATACCAAAAGTGAGGACTTCCACATGCATATCTTCTCTTAATTCTGGCAAAACAAATTGATATAGCAGAAGAGGTTGATTGGACTCTAGAAGCTGAATTTCCAAATCTAGCAGATGACAGTGAGTTATGGTATATAGTAACAACAACAATAGTTCATGATCTCTGTAGTAAAGAGTTTCTAGCAGAACCTTGCATGTAAGATGGACAAGAAATAAATGGCAAATGTTCTAAGGGATTCCCCAAGGAATTTACTCTGGCAACTACCTTAGACACAAATAGATATCTAAGATATATGTGAAGACCATCAGAGACTACAAGCAATACCTCCTCAGTATTCTCCTTTATAAAGCAAATTCAGCAACTAAGTAGAGCATATTATAATTACAACTACTTCAGCCAGCAGATTGTACCTTATAATGAGTCTATACTTAAGTAAGAAATACAATGCTTATATTAATATTGAAGTTTATTCTTCTATTAAAGCAGTCAAGTATATATATAAATATATATATACAGTTGAAGACAAGGCAAATATTTTGATTGCATATGAAAATCCAGATTGTGAACTAATTGATGAAGTTAAGAACTATCTTAATACATAATATATCTCTCCTCCTGAAGCATACTATGAGATTTTTGGTTATAAAATACATGATAAGGATCCTGCTGTTTATCAGCTAGCATTATACTTGGAAGACAAACAGTTAATATACTTCAATCCAGCTGAGGAAAGAGGAATTGTACAATTGCTTGATTAGTCCTAGCAAGATACCAGTTTGAAAGTATGATTCAAATTGAATCTAACATATTTCAATGGCCA